AAAACTTTCAATGCCGGGCATCACTGAAAGAGGAAACACTTCCAATGAAAACTGCCAAATGGATTTTCTGAGCTACGACGCCAACATGGGCTCAGGTGTCTCCTGGTGTTGGTGGATCCTTTTTTGGGGTCCAGAACTTCTCCTGCCACACCAACAAGGCCAGGGAAGTTACCCAGGCACTCCCCAAGAGATCACCCCAAGGCTCAAGGCACCTAGAGGAATGCCATCTGATAGGTGACCCATACTGGTATCTGAGGTGCGGCAGCAACTCAGTGAGCAGTGGGGAAAAGGGACTGGGAGGAACTGGGACAAACATGGGACAGTTGGAGTGGGATTGGGGTCATGGGGGTGAGCTAAAAGAGAGAGAATAGAAAGTTTCAGATCCCTTAAAGATACTAGATTGAGCTTAAAATGAACGGGCAAAATCAAGGAATGGCAGTAGAAATTTGGATACCCAGGATGAACACAGATGGAATCCATGGAGGAACAGATAAAGAGAACTCCTGGGAGGGTCTTTTGCAAATTCTGGACCACAGAATGAGCAGCGCCTGCAAAAAGCAGAAGTTGCAGGAAAAGCCATCTGGCATATTGGGGCACTCAGTGAAAAAATCAAACCCAGAATGACCCTCCAGTTCTATAAAAGGACTTCCAGAAAGAGGCAGAACCATGCAAATTATTTCCAGAGAAAGTCATGTATCTGTATTAGCTAAGAAGCCCCTTTTAATGAATATTTATAATTGTGGTGGAAAAATACTCAGTGGCAAAATCCCCCCCTGAGCTGCAAGACCAGGAGAAATCTGCTGTGAGTTTGAGGTGAGAAAGAATTGTGACTTTCTGATACCTCCAGTTCCATCAGGGAGTTCACTCCAGCCAATTTCAGTATCAGAGCCTCATGGGCAATGAGGTCATTTGAGACAGGCACACGGGCCTGGGATTGTGGAGTGGGGCCATGGGAGGCACCAGGGGACATTGTGGGAACAGGGGGTGACCCCTGCATTTGAGATGGAGTCCTGGGGTGACACCAGAAGCGTCACAGGACTTGGAGTGGAACTGGGGTCTGGGAGAGGGCCAAGGAAGACACTGGGTCTGCTGAGGGAGTGGCTTTAGGGATTTAGTGGAGGTTTGTAATCAGCCCGGCATCACAAGAGGGTTGCAGAGGATTGGGACCAAGATTGAGTTCCTGAGGAGCACTGGGGGGGCATCAGAAGGGTAAACACAGGACTGGGATTGGGATGGAGCTGGTGAGGCACTGAGGGGACACTGGGGAGGTCAGAGATTGTCCCCAGGGTTTGGGCTGGGGAACTGCAGAGGGGCTGGGGTGACACTAGGGGGAAGGGACACAGGACTGGGAGTGGGCTTGTGGGGCTTGTGGGCACAGGAGTGACACTGGGGGGAAGGCAGCAGTGGAGTCAAGGGGGGCATTGTGGCAGTGGGAGTGGGATCATGGGGCACACTGCTGGGGGGGCAGGGAGTGACCCCATAATTTGAACCATGGTCCTGGGGGGATGTGAGGCCTCAAATGGTTGAGGATATGAGACCATGGGAATAGGATTGTATCCTGGCGGTCTGAGGGGCACTGGGGAGTCCTGATGGACAGATGGGAGAAAGGGGTCTATGGGGAGAACAGAGGTTGTCCGAAAACCAACTACAATAATATAACCATAAATCAATTAAACTTCTGTTAATGCACAAGCAATATTCATTCCTTAATTGTGAGAGCTAATCATCGTTATCCATCTCTATACAAAGCTCTGGCTGCCCCACTTCAGGAACGGTTCAAGACCAGGTTGGGTGGGGCCTGGAGCAGCCTGGCCCTGGGGTGTCGGAACCCAGGACATTCCTCTGGGCGCCCTGGATGGCTCAGAGATCCTGGCAGGGGCTCGGAGACCCTGGCAGGAAGCCGAAGACACTAGGGAATTCAAGCTCAATCCATGGAGCAAATTACCAACTTTGTGTGAAGAATTACAGGTCACAAAATTTTAAATAGCATAAGAGCGGAGACCCTGGCAGGAAGCCAAAGACACTTGGGAATTCAAGCTCAACACATGGAGCAAATTACCAACTTTGTATGAAGAATTACAGGTCACAAAAGTTTAAATAGCATAACAACTGTTCTTCTTTCTTCTTCTTCCTAGCCTCCATCTTCTTGGTGATGGTGGCACTTTGGGATTGGTGTAAAGTAGACAGTCACTGTTTAACATAGGTGACAGATATTGGAACATAAATGCATATATCAATTACGTGTTTTAAAGTATAAAAGACAACATGGGCCCCTTGGGAGGGCAGTGTGCCTCGGACTGACCTCCTGAACAGACCTCAGCAAGCCAGACAGAAAATGTTTCATATAAGAAATAATAAACAACCTTGAGAACGACACCCGAAGAGTTCTGATTTCTTCTTCAACATCTGGGCTGGGGAAAAGAGACTTTTAATATATCTCGGGGTCATCATGACCAGAGGAGATCCCGAGATAGGGGAAGATGTCCCTGCCCATGGCAGGGCTGGCACCGCACGGGCTTTAAGGTCGCTCCATCCCAAACCATTGCAGAGCCCCGGGGCCGGGATGGGGCGGGCGCTCGGCAGCGCCTGCAGCTCGTGCTGCCGCCTGCTGGTGGCACCCGGAACTGCAGACGGGAGCGGCGCATGCGCAGTGCCGCTGATTTCCTGTACTCACTGCTGCCCTCCTGTGGACAATTCCCGAACTGCAACTGCCGGAATCCCCAAATCCCAGAATGGGTCAGGCTGGAAGGAACCATAGGGGGTATTTGGCCCAACATCCCAGCTCAGGCAGCATCATCCCAGAGCACAGGATTGGGTCTAGAGCAGCTCATAAATGGACATGGCACTGGAAGTAACTGGACACAGCAATCCTGACATGTCTCCCTGGGCAGGACAGAGTGGCACGGTCACTCCCTGACCTCCTGGCCCTGTTCTTCCCAATGCTCCCTGGATCCCTCCTGACCCCAGGTCACATAGCCAGCTCCACTGGTCACCCACCAACACCTCCAGATCTTTCTCCAGAGCTGCTCCAGCAGGTCAACCCCAGCCTGGACTGGGGACTGCCGACTGTCAATCCCCAGGGGCAGATCCTACCTTTGCCCTCTTTAACGTCCCAATTTCCAGCCTTTAAGATCCCCCTGAACTGCAGGATGTGTCAGGATGCTTTGCTTGGAATGTGCCCAAGGGTCAATGCCCCATTTGTGGCCATTGGGGCTGCATTGAGAGGGGTCTGGTGCTGATTTTGGTGCTGAATTGGGCTAAAACTAGCCCAAATCACCAACTTTGAATTGGAAAATGAGAGTGAAGCATCAGTGATGAGCCTGTCAGTCCATCACCTGACCTTGGGAATGTCCAGTCCCCTCTCAGACAGAGATTCCTCTCCCCTGTTCCTGCTTGGAATGAAACGTGTGTGAGGTTCCTGCCACTGGATGGGGATGCTCCCCAGGAGAGGAGGTTGAGAGAAGGAGATATTCCCATGCGTGTTGATGTGGGGAGTGACCTCGAGCCCTGCTAAGAATTTTGCCATTTTGCTGGCTGTGACAGATTTATTTAATGGAATTCTTTTGATAGAATTATTTATTAGAATTGCTTTGCACAATGGTCTTGGTGGCCACACTGGCCAGGGTAGCTGTGTGGCCTTGTGGCTGAGGGAGTCTTGATGATCATGGTGGCCGTGGTTGCCACAGTGACCACAGTGACTCTGGTGGCCTTGGTGGCTTGGTGTCCAGAGGATCCTGGTGGCCACTGCCAGGACAACGGTGGCCTGGAGGCATCCTCTGAGTTGCAAAGGGGCCATGGGGATGCTCCCACCTGGGGGACAAAGAGGTGCATAATGGGAGACCATGGGGGCAGTGAGGTGGTCGGGGATGGCCATAATGGGGTGTTCAGGGTGACAGGAGTGATGGGGGCAATGATGTCACAGGTGACAGGGGGTCAGGGAGGCCACAGGCGATATCAGGGACCAGGCAGATCCAGGGATCATGGTGGGCTTAAGGGTGACAAGAGTCAGGGTTTGCCATGGGGTTGACAGGGGGTGACAGGCGTTCTGAGAAGGGGTTCCTTGGAGGGTCCCAGCCCACCCACATTTGACACACAGGGCCTGTACTAACAGCACTACTTTTGGTGGGGAGGGACAGGACTGCTACAAGGGGCTCCCTGTTTCTGTCCCTGTCCCTGTCCACCCCTGGCAGTGGTGTCCCTGTCTCGGTCTCCTCCCAGTGACCTCGTGAACAGACCTCAGCAAGCCAGACAGAAAATGTTTCATATAAGAAATAATAAACAACCTTGAGAACGACACCCGAAGAGTTCTGATTTCTTCTTCAACATCTGGGCTGGGGAAAAGAGACTTTTAATATATCTCGGGGTCATCATGACCAGAGGGAACTGCAGACGGGAGCGGCGCATGCGCAGTGCCGCTGATTTCCTGTACTCACTGCTGCCCTCCTGTGGACAATTCCCGAACTGCAACTGCCAGAATCCCCAAATCCCAGAATGGGTCAGGCTGGAAGGAACCATAGGGGGTATTTGGCCCAACATCCCAGCTCAGGCAGCATCATCCCAGAGCACAGGATTGGGTCTAGAGCAGCTCATAAATGGACATGGCACTGGAAGTAACTGGACACAGCAATCCTGACATGTCTCCCTGGGCAGGACAGAGTGGCACGGTCACTCCCTGACCTCCTGGCCCTGTTCTTCCCAATGCTCCCTGGATCCCTCCTGACCCCAGGTCACATAGCCAGCTCCACTGGTCACCCACCAACACCTCCAGATCTTTCTCCAGAGCTGCTCCAGCAGGTCAACCCCAGCCTGGACTGGGGACTGCCGACTGTCAATCCCCAGGGGCAGATCCTACCTTTGCCCTCTTTAACGTCCCAAAATTCCCGAACTGCAACTGCCAGAATCCCCAAATCCCAGAATGGGTCGGGCTGGAAGGATCCAGAGCGGGCACCTGGCCCAACCTCCCAGCTCAGGCAGCGTCATCCCAGAGCATAGGATTGGTTCTAGAGCAGCCCGTAAATGGACATTGCAATGGACACAACTGGACACAGCACTCCTGATGTGTCTCCCTGGGCAGGACAGAGTGGCACGGTCACTCCCTGACCTCCTGGCCCTGTTCTTCCCAATGCTCCCTGGATCCCTCCTGACCCCAGGTCACATAGCCAGCTCCACTGGTCACCCACCAACACCTCCAGAGCTGCTCCAGCAGGTGCCCCCCCAGCCTGGACTGGGAACTGCCGGCTGTCAATCCCCAGAGCCAGATCCTACTCTTGCCCTCTTTAACCTCTCAGTTTCCAGCCTTTAAGATCCCCCTGAACTGCAGGATGTGTCAGGATGCTTTGCTTGGAATGTGCCCAAGGGTCAATGCCCCATTTGTGGCCATTGGGGCTGCATTGAGAGGGGTCTGGTGCTGATTTTGGTGCTGAATTGGGCTAAAACTAGCCCAAATCACCAACTTTGAATTGGAAAATGAGAGTGAAGCATCAGTGATGAGCCTGTCAGTCCATCACCTGACCTTGGGAATGTCCAGTCCCCTCTCAGACAGAGATTCCTCTCCCCTGTTCCTGCTTGGAATGAAACGTGTGTGAGGTTCCTGCCACTGGATGGGGATGCTCCCCAGGAGAGGAGGTTGAGAGAAGGAGATATTCCCATGCGTGTTGATGTGGGGAGTGACCTCGAGCCCTGCTAAGAATTTTGCCATTTTGCTGGCTGTGACAGATTTATTTAATGGAATTCTTTTGATAGAATTATTTATTAGAATTGCTTTGCACAATGGTCTTGGTGGCCACACTGGCCAGGGTAGCTGTGTGGCCTTGTGGCTGAGGGAGTCTTGATGATCATGGTGGCCGTGGTTGCCACAGTGACCACAGTGACTCTGGTGGCCTTGGTGGCTTGGTGTCCAGAGGATCCTGGTGGCCACTGCCAGGACAACGGTGGCCTGGAGGCATCCTCTGAGTTGCAAAGGGGCCATGGGGATGCTCCCAGCTGGGGGACAAAGAGGTGCATAATGGAAGACCATGGGGGCAGTGAGGTGGTCGGGGATGGCCATAATGGGGTGTTCAGGGTGACAGGAGTGATGGGGGCAATGATGTCACAGGTGACAGGGGGTCAGGGAGGCCACAGGCGATATCAGGGACCAGGCAGATCCAGGGATCATGGTGGGCTTAAGGGTGACAAGAGTCAGGGTTTGCCATGGGGTTGACAGGGGGTGACAGGCGTTCTGAGAAGGGGTTCCTTGGAGGGTCCCAGCCCACCCACATTTGACACACAGGGCCTGTACTAACAGCACTACTTTTGGTGGGGAGGGACAGGACTGCTACAAGGGGCTCCCTGTTTCTGTCCCTGTCCCTGTCCACCCCTGGCAGTGGTGTCCCTGTCTCGGTCTCCTCCCAGATGTGGGAGTCTCCATCTCTGAGCCCTGCCATGGGCGTACCTATCCACATGCCTAAAATCAGTGTCCCCGGATTTGGTGTCCCTAGCATAGGGTGTCCCTGTCTCCAAACAATCAGTGAGTGTCCCCACTCTGTGTGCCCTGTCATGGGCGTCCCCTGTCAACAGCTGGTGTCCGCAGAATTGGGTATTGCTGCCCACCCACCCACAGTGGATGCCTCTGTCCCCCATGCTCACTGTCCCCTGTGACTTATCATGGGTGTCCCCATCGCCCCAGGATGTCTCCTGTGGTATCACATCACAGCCACGCGCAGTTGTGTTTGCTGAAGGTCCCGGTGGAACGGAGACTGATCCATGCCCTCTTCCCATTCCGGGTGACTTTGGTGACCTTGAAGGTTTCGTATGGAGGGATCAGCACTTCTCGGTTGCTCAGATAGAAGGAAAAAGCCTGGATGTCCACACCATGACAAGTGTGAACATCGAACATGGTGTTCTGGTGCTGATTTTGGTGCTGAATTTGACTAAAACTAGCCCAAATCACCAACCTCGAAGTGAAAATTGAGGGTGAAGCATCAGTGCTGAGCCTGTCAGTCCATCACCTGACCTGGGGAACATCCAGTCCCCTCTCAGACAGAGATTCCTCTCCCCTGTTCCTGCTTGGAATGAAACGTGTGTGAGGTTCCTGCCACTGGATGGGGATGCTCCCCAGGAGAGGAGGTTGAGAGAAGGAGATATTCCCATGCGTGTTGATGTGGGGAGTGACCTCGAGCCCTGCTAAGAATTTTGCCATTTTGCTGGCTGTGACAGATTTATTTAATGGAATTCTTTTGATAGAATTATTTATTAGAATTGCTTTGCACAATGGTCTTGGTGGCCACACTGGCCAGGGTAGCTGTGTGGCCTTGTGGCTGAGGGAGTCTTGATGATCATGGTGGCCGTGGTTGCCACAGTGACCACAGTGACTCTGGTGGCCTTGGTGGCTTGGTGTCCAGAGGATCCTGGTGGCCACTGCCAGGACAACGGTGGCCTGGAGGCATCCTCTGAGTTGCAAAGGGGCCATGGGGATGCTCCCACCTGGGGGACAAAGAGGTGCATAATGGAAGACCATGGGGGGAGTGAGGTGGTCGGGGATGGCCATAATGGGGTGTTCAGGGTGACAGGAGTGATGGGGGCAATGATGTCACAGGTGACAGGGGGTCAGGGAGGCCACAGGCGATGTCAGGGACCAGGCAGGTCCAGGGATCCTGGTGGGCTTAGGGGTGACAAGGGTCAGGGTTTGCCATGGGGTTGACAGGGGGTGACAGGAGTTCTAAGAAGGGGTTCCTTGGAGGGTCCCAGCCCACCCACATTTGACACACAGGGCCTGTACTAACAGCACTACTTTTGGTGGGGAGGGACAGGACTGCTACAAGGGGCTCCCTGTTTCTGTCCCTGTCCCTGTCCACCCCTGGCAGTGGTGTCCCTGTCTCGGTCTCCTCCCAGATGTGGGAGTCTCCATCTCTGAGCCCTGCCATGGGCGTACCTATCCACATGCCTAAAATCAGTGTCCCCGGATTTGGTGTCCCTAGCATAGGGTGTCCCTGTCTCCAAACAATCAGTGAGTGTCCCCACTCTGTGTGCCCTGTCATGGGCGTCCCCTGTCAACAGCTGGTGTCCGCAGAATTGGGTATTGCTGCCCACCCACCCACAGTGGATGCCTCTGTCCCCCATGCTCACTGTCCCCTGTGACTTATCATGGGTGTCCCCATCGCCCCAGGATGTCTCCTGTGGTATCACATCACAGCCACGCGCAGTTGTGTTTGCTGAAGGTCCCGGTGGAACGGAGACTGATCCATGCCCTCTTCCCATTCCGGGTGACTTTGGTGACCTTGAAGGTTTCGTATGGAGGGATCAGCACTTCTCGGTTGCTCAGATAGAAGGAAAAAGCCTGGATGTCCACACCATGACAAGTGTGAACATCGAACATGGTGTCCGTCCCGTATTTCTGGGCAATCTCTTTGCTCAGCGACGTCGATGTGAACTGACCAAACCGGACCCTCTGACCACGCCGTGCCTGGAACTGGACATCATGCACACCCCGGAACACGTGGCGACACTGCCTGTTCTGAGCATGCCTCAGTGTCACCAGTGCCTTGGTCAGCAGGAAATGCAGCGTTTTGAAGTGGAAGTTGTTCCGATATTCCTGGTGGGAGCGCCCAGCCGCGCGCACAGCCGTGTTGAAGTCCTTGTAAATGTCCTTCGTTGTGTAGGCCATGAGAGCGATGGCCTGGGCTGGAGACACCAGAGGGGAGACAGGGGAGCCCCTCTTGCGCCACTCAGCCTCGGCCTTCACCCATGTCTGGGCAAAGAGAGGATTCACCTGGGACTCAAAGTAGTACAGAGACGGCAACGCCGTGGTCATGGCATGGCCACAGCCCCGATACTGGTCATCGAAGGAGTCCCGGGCCATGTCCAGGGGCACCACCTTGAGGGCCACCGTGGCCACAGTCATTGCCAGCAGTGCCACAGTGTGAGCCAGGAGGGCCATGGCGCAGAAGGGCAACCACAAGCAGTGTGGGACACTGGCAGAAAAAGAAGAACACACTCAGGGGACATTTAGGGCACACAGGGGTACATAGGAAGGGTTCCTCCCTGAGGGGCTGAGGAGGGGAACTGGTTCCAGCTGGTGGGAAGGGGTTCCGTTTCAGCTGGAAGCTCCCTGGACACATCCCAGGATGCTGAGCTTAAAGGCTAGGCTCATACCTGGACTCCCCTCAGAACCCCAAGACAGCAATCCCACTCCCATGATCCCATGTCCCCAACACTTAGTGTCCTCCTAGAACCCCAGAAAATTATATCACAACAGCTGGTGTCCGCAGAATTGGGTATTGCTGCCCACCCACCCACAGTGGATGCCTCTGTCCCCCATGCTCACTGTCCCCTGTGACTTATCATGGGTGTCCCCATCGCCCCAGGATGTCTCCTGTGGTATCACATCACAGCCACGCGCAGTTGTGTTTGCTGAAGGTCCCGGTGGAACGGAGACTGATCCATGCCCTCTTCCCATTCCGGGTGACTTTGGTGACCTTGAAGGTTTCGTATGGAGGGATCAGCACTTCTCGGTTGCTCAGATAGAAGGAAAAAGCCTGGATGTCCACACCATGACAAGTGTGAACATCGAACATGGTGTCCGTCCCGTATTTCTGGGCAATCTCTTTGCTCAGCGACGTCGATGTGAACTGACCAAACCGGACCCTCTGACCACGCCGTGCCTGGAACTGGACATCATGCACACCCCGGAACACGTGGCGACACTGCCTGTTCTGAGCATGCCTCAGTGTCACCAGTGCCTTGGTCAGCAGGAAATGCAGCGTTTTGAAGTGGAAGTTGTTCCGATATTCCTGGTGGGAGCGCCCAGCCGCGCGCACAGCCGTGTTGAAGTCCTTGTAAATGTCCTTCGTTGTGTAGGCCATGAGAGCGATGGCCTGGGCTGGAGACACCAGAGGGGAGACAGGGGAGCCCCTCTTGCGCCACTCAGCCTCGGCCTTCACCCATGTCTGGGCAAAGAGAGGATTCACCTGGGACTCAAAGTAGTACAGAGACGGCAACGCCGTGGTCATGGCATGGCCACAGCCCCGATACTGGTCATCGAAGGAGTCCCGGGCCATGTCCAGGGGAACCACCTTGAGGGCCACCGTGGCCACAGTCATTGCCAGCAGTGCCACAGTGTGAGCCAGGAGGGCCATGGCGCAGAAGGGCAACCACAAGCAGTGTGGGACACTGGCAGAAAAAGAAGAACACTCTCAGGGGACACTTAGGGCACACAGGGGTACATGGGAAGGGTTCCCGCCTGAAGGGCTGAGGAGGGGAACTGGTTCCAGCTGGTGGGAAGTTGGCCCGTTTCAGCTGGAAGCTCCCTGGACACATCCCAGGATGCTGAGCTTAAAGGCTAGGCTCATACCTGGACTCCCCTCAGAACCCCAAGACAGCAATCCCACTCCCATGATCCCATGTCCCCAACACTTAGTGTCCTCCTAGAACCCCAGAAAATTATATCAAATTCTGGGGTCACTCCCTGTCCCCCCAGCAGTGCCACCCTGGACCTCACTTCTGTGTCCCCCCCAGGGTAATCCCTGTGCCCAGCAGACACAGAAACTCTCTCCCTTCCCCATGTCAGCTCCCCGCAGATTGTCAACCTGCCCAAATCCTGGAGAAAATCCCTGACATCCCTAGTGTCCCCTCAGTGCCCCACCAACCCGCAATCCCAATCCCAGTCCTGTGTTTACCCTTCTGTTTTCCTCCCCAGTGCTCTCCAGGATCTCAGTCTTGTTCCCACACCTCTTTAGACATGTTGTGAACATGGGCCCTTCCAGGACTGCACCCAAATTTCTAAAGCCAATCCCTCTCCCCACCACTGTCCCCAAGGTCCCTCTCCCAGACCCAAGTCCTCCTCCAAGTCCTGTCACCCATTTCATGTCACCCCATGACCCCAAACCATATCCAGAAGTCATCCTCTGCCCCCCACAACACCACCCTGGTGTCCTACATGGCCCCACTTCACAATCCCTCTCGCAGGGGTGCCTGGGTGACTTCCCTGGCCTTGTTGCTGTGGCAGGAGAAGTCCTGGGCCTGCCAAGAAGGGATCCACCAACACCAGGTGATACCTGAGCCCATGTTGATGTGGTAGCTCAGAAAATCCCTTTGCCAGTAATCTCCAGGAGTGTTTCCTCTTTCAGTGATGCCTGGTGGTGATGGTTTTGATTTCAAAGGGTTCTTTTAAAAACACATCGGGCATTGCTTTGTAATAGACCTGACAGTTTTGTCCTATAGTCACTGAGTATGGAAAACACACGCTCACTCTCCTGTAAAAATTTAAGCAGTTTAATAAAGGACAGTAGGAGACAAAGAGAGTAAAGCAAAGATTACAGCCAGGTGTGTCTTGGCACTCAGCCAAGAGTGCGCCTTCACCTTCAGGAATACTGCTTAAAGACCCTTTCTATTACATCAACTCGTTGCATGTTCACAGACCCTTATGCATAGTAAACTTTTTCCACAAACTACTTTATATGTTCTAAGAACTGTTTACCATGGCTCATCCTTGGGTCCACATTTTCAGAGCATGCAGATTCCCTGGTTGTATTTTTAGTCCTTTTTTATCTCCTCCAATTTTTGAGAAGAGGTGCACGCCCTCCCTCCACATGTCCCTGACAACCTGAACAACCAGGGTTGCCCGATGGAAAGGACACAGGGGGAGGAAAAAGGGATTATAGGGAGAACAGAGGGAATCCAAAAACCACATCACAATAACAAAGTTACGCATCAAAAGAAATTCAAATCTAACAAAACTCCCCTTAACAAATACACACCCACACCCACACCCACACACACACGCACACGCACACACACACACACACACACACGCACACACTATTCATCTCTCTTTGCGAGAGCCAATCATCATTCTACCCATCTATAACACCATCCAACACCCCCAGGTCCTTCTCCAGAGCTACTCCACTTGGTCCCCTCCAGGCAGGGCTGGCAGTGAGGATTGTCCCTCCCCAGGGACAGGACCTGCCCTTCCCCGCCTGAACGTGCTCAGTGACGTCGATGTGAATTGACCAAAGCGGACCCTCTGGCCAGGCTGCGTCTTGAAATGAACCTCACGAACACCCCGGAAGACGTGGCGACACTGCCTGTTCTGAGCGTGCCTCAGTGTCACCACGGCATCGGTCAGCAGGAAATGCAGCGTTTTGAAGTGGAAGTTGTCCCGGTATTCCTGGCGGGAGCGCCCAGCCACGTGCACAGCTGCGTTGAACTCCCTGTATAGGTACTTCATTGTGTAGGCCATGACAGCAACTGCCTGCCATGGGGATGCCAGAGGGGAGACAGGAGAGCCCCGTTTGCGCCACTCAGCATGAGCATGAAACCAGCCCCAGGCAAAGTGAGGATTCATCTGGTACTCGAAGTTGTAGAGGGCGGGCAAGGCTGCAGCCATGGCAGGACCACAGCCCCGATACTGGTCATCGAAGGAGTCCCGGGCCATGTCCAGGGGAACCACCTTGAGGGCCACCGTGGCCACAGTCATTGCCAGCAGTGCCACAGTGTGAGCCAGGAGGGCCATGGCGCAGAAGGGCAACCACAAGCAGTGTGGGACACTGGCAGAAGTTCCCCCCAGTCCCACTCCCCGCTGCTCACTGAGTCGCTGCCACACCTCAGATACCAGTTGGTGTCCCCTATCAGATGACATCCCTGTAGGCACCTTGAGCCTGGGGATGATCTCTCGCAGGGGTGCCTGGGTGACTTCCCTGGCCTTGTTGGTGTGGTTGGAGAAGTTCTGGACCCGCCAAGAAGGGATCCACCAACACCAGGAGATACCTGAGCCCATGTTGGTGTGGTATCTCAGAAAATCTATTTGGCAATTTTCATTGGAAGTGTTTCCTCTTTCAGTGATGCCTGGAGGTGATGATTTTGAATTCAAAGGGTTTTTTTTAAACACATCAGCCATTGCTCTGTAACAGACCTGACATTTTTGTCCTATAGTCACTGAGTATTGAATACACATTCACTCTCCTGTGGAAATTTCAGAAGTTTAATAAAGGACAATATGAGATACAGACAGTAAAGCAAAGATTACGGCCAGGTGTGTCTTGGCACTCAGCCAAGAGTGCACTTTCACCTTCAGGGGTACCCCTTAAATACTTTTCCATTAAATCAGTCTGTTGCATATTCATAGACCCTAAAGCATAGTAAACTTTTTCCACAAACTACTTTACATCTTCCAAGAACTGTTTAGCATGGCTCATCCTTGGGACCGACTCTTTAGAGCATGCAGATTCCTTGGTTTGGTTTTGGCCTTTTTTATCACCTCCAGTTTTTGGGCACAGGTGCACGCCCTCCCTCCACGTGTCCCTGACAACCTGAACAAGCAGGGTTAGCCAATGGTAACCTATACAAGGAGTTCAACCCTAATGGATGGCAATGACACAGAGGGAGGAACAGGGGATTGTAGGGAGAACAGAGGGAGTCCAAAAACCACATCACAATAACAAAGTTACACATCAAAAGAAATCCAAATCCAACAAAATTTCCTTTAACACACACACACTCAATATTTATCTCTTAAATGTGAGAGCCCATCATCATTCTACTCATCTGTAACACCCATCAGCACCCCCAGGTCCTTCTCCAGAGCTGCTCCAGCAGGTCCTGCCCAGAGGGGACTGGACCTGAGGGCTGTCCCTCCCCAGGAACAGAATCTGCCTCTCCCCTCTTGAACATCACCATGTCCTGCCTTTAAGGTCCCCCTGAATGGCAGGATGTGGCAGGATGCTCTGCCCGGAATGTGCCCAAGGGACAATCCCTGTTTGTGGCCATTGTGCTGATTTTGTTGCCTAATTGGGCTAAAACCTGCCCAAATCACCAACCCCGAACTGACAACTGAGGATAAAACACCAGAGTTGAGCGTGACTGTCCATCAGGTGACCCTGGGAATGTCCAGTCCCCTCTCAGACAAACAGTCCTCTCCCCTGTTCCTGCTGGAAATGAAATGTGTGTCAAGTTCCTCCCTCGGGAAGGGGATGCTCCCCAAGTCCTCCTTGAGGCTGAGAGAAAGAGATGCTCCCATGAGTGTTGGTGTGGGGAGTGACATTGAGCCCTGTTTAAGAATTGTCACTTTTTGCTGGCTTTGTCAGATTTATTTAACGGAATTGTTATGATTGAAATATTTAACAGAATTGTTTGCACAATGGCCTTGGTGGGCACAGTGGTCACAGTGGCTGTGGCAGCCTTGGAGCTGAGGGAGTCTTGGTGATGATGGTGGTCACGGCTGCCACAGTGACCACAGAGACCTTGGTGACCTTGGTGGCCTAGAGGTCAGAAGATCCTGGGGACGCTCCCATCTGTGGGACAAAGACGGGTATAATGGAAGACCATGTGGAGAGCGAGGGGGTTGGGAATGGCCAAAATGGGGGCTAGGGGTGGCAGGAGAGATGGGGGCCATGAGGTGACAGGTGACAGGATGTCGTGGGTGGGAGGTTATGGTGGGTAGAGGTGCTAGGTAGGTCAGCGGGGTCATGGTGGGCTTAGGGATGACAGGGGTCAGGGGTAGTCAGGGTTTGCCATGGCGGGTGACAGGGGGTGACAGGGGTTCAGGGAGTGCTGTGGGGGGTCATGGCCCATCCACATCCAGCACATGGGGCCCATCCCAACAGGACTGTTTTGGCAGGGAGGGACAGGGTCGGTATGTGGAGGGCCCAGTCTCTGTCCTCCCCTGGCAAGGGTGTTCCTGTCCCTTCCCAGAATTGGGAATCCCCATCCCTGTGCCCTGTCATGGATGTTCTTGCCCTTGAGCCCTCAATGGGTGTCCCCAAATTTGAGGTCACCAGCACTGGGTGTCCTTCTCCCCACAAACACACAGTGAGTGCTCCTGTCCCCCATGCCCCGTGCATATCATTATCCCCTGTGCCATATCATGGGTGTCCCCATAGCCCCAGGCTGTCCCCTGTGCTGTTACCTCACAGCCACGCGCAGTTGTGTTTGCTGAAGGTCCCAGCGGAGTGGAGACTGATCCATGTCCTCCTCCCATTCTGGGTGACCTTGGTGACCTTGAACGTCTCGAAGGGTGGGATCAGCCCCTCCTCCTCCCCTGGATACACGGAAAACTGCCGGATGTCCACCCCATGGCATGTGTGCACCTCAAAAATCGTGTCTGTCCCAAAGTGCAGAGCAATCTCTTTACGCAGCG